ACAAATTTGTGTCCAAAAACGGGGCAATACAAGATTTCACCGGCGTTCAAACTCACTGCGCTTGCCAGCACTTTCAGACTCTGCAGCACGTGCGTGTCGTGTTTGGCGGGTTATCCGCGCCGCGTGTCTAGTATTAACGGTAATGAGCAATTAGTAGGACGAAGAAGCACTAAAAGGCAGAAGCGAGTGGAGTATGTAGTGGCTGGTATCAGTAGGAGTAAAAATGCAGAAGTAGAAAGCAGTAGTGAGTCGTAATGGGTAGTAGTGGAAGCACTAACAGCCTTTTCAAGGAAAACCTCGGCAACCCCTAACGCTATCAGGACGTTGGCATAATCATGCGATGGCTATCAGGCCCCAAGTCGGATACAGGGTGAAGTTATTCAATCAAATGAGCTCCGGTGTCGTTCATGATAGACAACTGCAATGCAGGTTGCTTAACACGATCGGATAGCCCAACAAAGCACAGCATTTCCGTTCTCCGCCTGCTTGCGATGATGGACTGTCACACTGCGTCACTGCTTTATTGGATGATGCATGTGACTCCTGTTACCTGATCAATTGCCATCGCGACTTCATAGTGGCCATTTGCCTCTGCAAGATCGGCAGCTGTTCTGCCATGAGAATCTCTAACTTCTGTGTCTGCCCTGCGTTCGAGCAGCATTTGTACCACGCCCTTGTGGCCGCATGCTGAAGCTGTGAGAAGAGGACTGAAATGACTGAAATCTTGGGGATCCGGATGTGCCTTTGACTTTAGCAGCATTCGCACGATGTCATAGTGGCCTTGAGCTGAAGCATCACAAAGGGCCGTAGAGCCCCAGGACTCAGAAATACCATTCGGATCCGCTCGTGCTTTCAACAACTGCTGCACAACTTCAATATGCCCAGCACATGTCGCTAAAATCAACGCAGTGTGGCCACTGTAACCATCAATTCCCGCAGTATCCGCCCGCGCCTTCAACAACATCATCACCATCTGTTGTTGTCCATTCTCGGATGCAATGAATAAAGCGTTTCCCAGGGTTGCATCGGCCTTTCGACACAAGAGCATTCTGAGAATCTCAACGTGGCCATAATACACTGCAAGTTCAACTGCAACACGATCACGATCATCTCCTAAAATGCTGGTTTTGTTCACATCCGCTCTGCCCTGTAGCAGCATCTGCATAATCTTTCCATGACCATGCCGCGCCGCTAAAGCTACAGGTGCTTTTGGACCACAATTTGCATCGGCTCTGGCAAGCAGAAGGAGATACACAATGTTGTGATGACCTTTACCGGCAGCCGCAGCTAGAGGAGTTGACATGTCATCGTGATATTCGAACCTATTCCCGAACCTGTCCTCCATATTGTCAAAACCCAACTCGTTCATATTGGCTGCAGCATCCAACAGGAGACGCACAACCTTCGCGTAACCATTGTTGGATGCCCACCACAAGCAGACTATTGCTTCATTGTTGGGATCTCCGTGAACGCCAACTCCGGGGCTTGAAGGAGCAGCCACACGATCTCCGCATGGCCTCGCTTCGAAGCTTCATACAAAGCTATCAAGCCGGGGCAGGGCCAGCCATCGTCTGGAGTCGACACGAAAACCTTCCCTCCTGACAATGCCTTGGCAAATCGGCTCACCAGCTCAACATCATTGCGCTTCGCCGCTGAGACGATTGTAGCACTGACGCTACTTGTACAAGGGTCAGCAAGGGCTCCTAGTAACAAGCGGGCAAGGTCCAGATGGCCTCGACATAGTGCCGCCACAAGAGGTGACCTTGTCTCGAAGACGTGCTCCAAAGCTGCGCCCGCCTCCAACAGCAACTCCACAATCTTTTCATCGCCATAAGAGGCTGCGATGCAAACAGGCCTGATTCCCTCACCATGTTGGTCTGGATGCTGCGGTTGTTGCAGAAGGCACTCGACTTGCTCGACATCTCCAGCATAGCAAGCTGCTTCTAGTTCACCAGTACCGTCAACAAATGGCAGTACGACTAGCTGTAGGCTACCGGTCCCTGAGTCCAAAGTCTCATCATCCTCCAAGTTGATGTTGGACAGCAGAAGCCTTTGCCTGAACCTGGACGCTTGGCATAGGCTCTGCAGGTGCTGCTTCAGGGACAGAACTGTTGGAGTCTCGAGTTCCGTCGTCAGCGATACAGACGCAAGCTTTTGCCCGGACAGCGACCACACATCCAGCATCCTTGCTGAATGTCAGGCCCTCACCATTACTGTGCGTCCACTTAATATCCAAGTAAGCAACTGTGGGCCGCGCCCTTACTCATAACCGTTTTGAACAGCTACTCAGCGACCCATGAATATTTTGAGACTGATTCCGACATAGTGAGCCGAATCACAGTCTGCTGCGACAACCCGCGTACAAAGAAAACAACGGCCTACCAATCAATGAATGGGAGGCCCCTGATATCCTCTTTGATGGGCGTCGTCAAAACATATGGCATAGCGCGAGTTCTTGGAGGACAGCCTGTACACTCTGTTGGGCGCATGAATTTGCAACATGGCAAGAACCTTGCCTATACCAAACATGAACAATTCTCACGAAGTTTAAGAACTCCTTAAGCGCATTCCGCAGCCTACATGGTGGACACGGTGTCCTCACTTTGAAGGCTGGATTGCTGAATAAATCCATGTAAGCCATGTCATCCCTGAACCTGACACAATTTAAGTCCTATATATCCTCTCTAAGCATCCCCAATGCCATGATCCGTCACCCTGGCGCTCTGAGGGTCCTGCCATTCCAGGATCTCGATCTCCCTTTCGGATCGTAGCTCAAGCTGGTAGTCCGTGTAATCCTGCGTCCAGGCAAGAATTCACACACGAAGGGTTTTCTGAGGGCATCAACAGTTCGTATGTTCATTATTTTGGACGGTGGAAGGCCTTCAGGGCACGAGGGGTGTATGAGTTGCACCACCCAGGCAACGAAGGTATGGCACTTGTCAAAAGACATGATCTGAATTCTTGCGCACAAGTAGTCCCACATCATTTAGGTGCCACAAAACCGAAGGGCCAAAGACGTCATTACGCAATTCAAGGTTGTATGGGTTAAGGGTGTAGAGCTGCAACACTTGGAGCCAGTGCACATTTAAGAAGTTGCAAGACATAATTACACGTTGAAAACTAGTTGTGGCGGCTTTAAAAGGCAATCCTCCAGGATTTCTTGTTTTCTGAGAAGTATACTAAGTATACGTACGGGCTTGAGCGTTTCTTCGCCCGTACCCGGGTGACTTCTCTTCGGAACAGCAAGCAATGCCTGTTGCGGGTCCAGAATGGAACGCTGCCGCAAGTACTCTCAATCATTGTTCTTCTTGTTTCCGACAAGTCGGAGGCTCTGAAACCTCAAGCAGATCTGCTTGCTAAACCCCAAGCGCATGCCATGAACACTGCACCTTGTTCGTCTCACGTATTTCTCACTACTATCTTTGATAGGTCTGCTTTTACATCTAGCTAGACCTACCTGGAAAGCCGGCTTCGTGCAAGGCTTGCCATGCTACTATCGTGCACAAAGGCTCAACCCAACGCCACTTGATACAAACCCTCCCTGCTGGGCCTCCTTGAACTGGAGTAGAATGCGAGTCGAGTATGGAAACTTCACCTGCCAGCGCCGCACGATCGGAAAAGAGTCTTTCTGCACACCCTGAAGGCCGTACAGCACAGAATCGAGATACCAGCTCGGCCGTGTCATGTAACACAACCCACTGGTCAAGCGAACAGTCAGGCAGTGCTTTGCCAGCACTTCTATAAAAATCTTCTCTTTAAAGCCATCGAAAAAGGGGCCCGCCAAGGCAGGGCTCAAGATCAAAGTGGGGATTAGATGGTTTTTGTTTGAAGCCCTCATTCACCTTTGCTTGAGTTGAGAAGAAGTATCCTTATTGCTGCAAGGACAGCAGTTGATAGCAGCACAGGCCCAACTCTGCTCTGGAGGGCTTGCAAGATCCCAACATTCTTATCGCTGCCCGCTTCACATCTAGGACTGCCAGCTCAAAGGGCTACGACGTTGACAACAAGCGTGCCTGGCTGATTCAGTACTAGACAGGAAGGTGAAAACCAGTTTCCGTAGGGTACGTTGACTAAGCCCTTCGGCAATCGACTGAAGCAGCCTGAGACGAGCGCGCCCGCGTCTCGGCAATTGTCAAGGGGCAGGGAGGCTGGACAAGCTGATAAGAGCTGAGTAGATTCAAACAAAAATGCGCATCTGGGCTAGGGTTCGAGATCTGCAAAAAAAATACATGCGGACAGGCCCCGCCACGCATGCAGCACTGACAGCTTTTGCTGCGCAAGGAACCGTAACTAACCTAACCCCACACCCTGTAATCAAACCTAGTCACTCAACTTGACATCCAAACATGTAAAGTCTTTGACCCGAAAGCCCAGGCCCCAAACCCTAAACCTCAACCCCTTTACATCTATGCGCCAACCCTCAACTCATCCGTCTCAATATCATGCCAACCATCAACCCAACAACTCCAAACTCTAAACCCAAAAACCTCAAGCCCTGAACCCCCAACCGTGCCTGCGTCCTGGTGACGCGCTTGAGCTGCGTCAAGTCCAGGCAGCGAACGGGCCGGGGCCGAGGCCTCAACACAATAGTAATAGCAATATTAATAAAAGTAATACTGACATTAATTGTATCAATATTAGTAGTAATATTAGTCATATAGTAATAATACTAATAGTAATAACAAATACGATAATAGTAACAACCCTGAACGTTGGATGCTTCGGGTTCCCTGGGCTCCAAGTAGCCCAAAGCAGGTACTGCGTATGGCTTGGGATTTAGTGTGTTTTTGGGGCCAATTATTTCTCGGACCCTTTTCCACCTGCTTGGTGGTTTCATGGGTGTGGGGTGCAATTAAGGTTTGTGAGGTTGGTCTCTTTAGCTTGCGGTTTAAGATTTAGGGTGGGGAGTCTAGGAAATCGTTGGAAGGCCGAGTGACCGTGTAAGTGGGTATAAGTAGCCTGATCAGCTAGGTCCGATTTCGCGGACACACAAGTATGAGGGTCTAGCATAGGACTGCGATTTCAGCACTCATTTGAGCCTGAATGAAGGCTTCTTGTAAGCACGACTACGTATATGGTACCAGCAAGTGATGTTCTGGGTCAAGATTCCTGATTCGTAGGGCATCAAGATCTGGCTATGGCCATGGCAGGATTTCTAAACTTGCAGTGGTACAGCTATTAGTGGGAACCCAGTGGTGCATCTGCCTTAGCTGGGCATGCCACGTGGTCAGAACAAGACAGGTACAACAACCCCTCTTATGAAGTCCTAGCCATATACCATTCCTGGGAGTTTTGGGCCGCCTAGAGCCCGGGTCCAGAATATGCTGATAAGAGATGCTCACGCCAGACATGAGCACAACATAAGTTGCCTCCTAACTGAGCATGCGGCTCCTTGTTGCGGATCACCTGCTGCAGGGTGCAGCACGTCCCTTCTAACACATGCGACATCCAAGTATTGTGCCCCGAGCTGCCCCGCGCATTGCATGTGCGGAGGCAACAGCCTCAGCTGGGCCTCTACAACCAAGCGCACCCTTGCACTCAACCGATCCCAAAATTCTTTGATGACTGGCCCACGAACATGGTATTTTAGACAATTACCCCGCGCAGCCTGAGGTGGTCTTGGCTGCCTCAGCTGATCCACAAAGGACGGCCTGAACCAGGAGGAAGGACTCAGGACAGCAGGAGGAGAGGAGCGCGAGAATCATCACGCATGACCCAGGTGCTTCTGGAGTATGACACAGATGGTTGAGGCTTTGAGACTGTTCATGATAGTCAGGATAATGAGGATACTAGCAAGTATGACTGTTCTTGCCGAAAATAACAACAAAATTGTAAGTAGCGCAACGGGGCAGTACACGGGATTACAGTGACATCTATGGTTCCAATTCAGGTTGGCGGAATGTCTCAGCTGAGCATCACAAAAACATCCCGCAAGCGTTTCGGAAGAGGAATAACGGAACGCATTCTCCATCATTGGGATTGTATATCCCCATAGAAACTAAGATTTGTGGTGCGGGACTTCTTCCCTCCACTGCGTGTCACCCGAGTGGTTATGTAGGGGTTCTTTTCTAAGGATACTACACAAATAATGAAATCAAGTGGACTAGAAAAAGGAAACTGAAATGGAAACTGTGGTTACATTGTGGGTTTTGTGTTTCAAGCAGCTATTGCCTCCACCAACGAATCTGCCCCTCCTTCAACTCGAAAAACCTGTCAGCTTTTGGACTGTCAGTTGGGATTCACGGCTCATGGTGTAGGGGCTAGAAATTAGGGCCGAAAGTGCTTAGCATTGCGGGTCTAGGCTTGGAGCTGAGGATTATTTCAGCATCATGGCTTGATCAGTAAAACCTGGGCCTACTAGAGTATAATCCTGATGCAGGAGTCTTTCACATGTTGCTACAGGTTCTGTAAAAACAGGCCGTGACAGCTTATTACACGATCCTTGCTGCATTGAGGCAAGCACTTCAGGGAAACGGCTGCTCCCCTAACGCGGCTTCGTGTTTTGGATATATTGGGGTATATTGGGATAATGGAAAATAAAATGGAAACTACTATAATGCGTCATATAGGGTATATATTGGGTTTAAGCAAATCTTGAAGCTTGAAGCTGTTTAATTCCAAGCTGCATTTCCTGAGAGACCCATGCAACCGAAAACGCGTGGAATCTCATAGTCCCCTCTGAGCCCAAGCCCCCTCATATTACAAGTGAATGCGGCTCCCCTACCTTCCAATTGCGGTTGCAGCTATCTAAGGTTGAAACCATGGGCCCCGGGTATGGGCCCTTAACCCTGGGATCCTTATGTACCTACTATGTACCCTTAAGGGTCCCTGGAATCCCCCTGAAAGGACAAAGGGCCTATATGAGGGGCACACACAGACACACTTATAACCTTAGAAGCAAGGACTATGGAGTTCCTTTCCTTATGGTTCAGGGAATAGGGTTTAGGCCTAGAGGCCAGAAAAGGGGTGACAGAACCAAACACGGCGAGGATGCCGAATGGTCCACCGAAAGCGTGATCTTCCGGCACGCTTCTGCAGATACCTGCCAGCTTTCAGTTGAGAATCTTCTGACATAATACGAATAATGAACATAGTATTAATCGCGATCATCGTAATCTAAATATTATGCGGGGTATATGAGGCCATTATAGGCTTCTCGGGAGTCCCTCCAAATACCCTGCAGG